GTTCCCTCAGCCGCTCCTCAGAAGACTTCTTCTCCAGGCCCCTCACCAGCCTCGTTGCCCTTCTCTGGACACGCTCCAGCACCTCAACGTCCTTCTTGTAGTGAGGGGCCCAAAACTGAACACAGTATTCGAGGTGCGGCCTCACCAGTGCCGAGTACAGGGTACTATGAACTAACCCATCGCCAGCAGCGAGATCTATAAGCTCCATTTCATTTCTCACATCACAAGATGAGGAATGAGGAAACAGGAAGAAACATGTGAATTAAGTGGTTTCAGTAATGCACTGTCTGTAAAGCAGTTTTAAATTTGGCACAAACAGTTGTAATTACGAAATTAACTTTCATGACAAAAGTTTGTGATGGTTCTGCATAAGAAGCAGCGATCTGGCTATTAACCGAGCAGAATCCAAACAGCCCCGGAGGTACCTTTTTTAATATTACTGGTTGTATAATTTTGCCTTGCATACAGAGAAGTCCCCATGTTAAACTAATAAGAAACCAAATTTAAATGACCGTGTTTCTGATCTCAACACCTGCACAGCACCATACTTGAGATTCAGGGGAAAGCTATGGTTAGTATTTGGGTTTTTTTAATGCAGTCAGAGCAAGCTTTTGTCTTTACAGCTAATAAGGGTATTAGCCCACGGAGGGCTGTCCCTGCGCCACGGTTTGCTGTTGAGGGTCGGTTGGGAGAGCCCGTGTTAGCTCTGCTGGTGGTTTGGGACTGCTGCCTGCCAGGAACGGGGACAGGGGTGTTGCTTCAAGGACCAAGACGTCTCCACTCCCGGTTGAGCATGGCTCTGGGCTTGCTCTGACGACCGGGCTTATGGTAAGGTGTTGGCCTGCCGGGGACACCAGCTGCACCCGAGCACGGGCTCGTGGAGGGGATGTAGTGGAGGGGGTCAGGGATGGGGCTGAGGGCTCACGGCCGGGCGGCCAGCTGGAGCTGGGCTGCCTCCGAGCATCCCATGGAGAGCAGGTCCCGGCTCTGTATGCTCTCAGGGGACAGCCCAGCACTGGCACCCGTTGTAATCGAGGGTGCCCTTGCTGGGGACAAAAGAGGTGCTCCCGGGTGCACCTTTGCCTACGAGCAGCGCGGGATTGATAAGCGCAGCCCTCACGTCCCTTCGGGCCTTTCTGCTCAGAGCTGGGGGTGGAGGAGGAGGAGGAGGAGGATGCTGGTGCGCTGCCATTTCAGAGGGGCTTTGCTGGGGACCCTCAGCTCTCCCAGCGGGAGGCAAGGGCCGCACGGCCGGGCGGCCAGCTGGAGCTGGGCTGCCTCCGAGCATCCCATGGAGAGCAGGTCCCGGCTCTGTATGCTCTCGGGGGACAGCCCAGCACTGGCACCCGTTGTAATCGAGGGTGCCCTTGCTGGGCAAAAGAGGTCCCGGCTCTGTATGCTCTCAGGGGACAGCCCAGCACTGGCACCCGTTGTAATCGAGGGTGCCCTTGCTGGGGACAAAAGAGGTGCTCCCGGGTGCACCTTTGCCTACGAGCAGCGCGGGATTGATAAGCGCAGCCCTCACGTCCCTTCGGGCCTTTCTGCTCAGAGCTGGGGGGGGAGGAGGAGGAGGATGCTGGTGCGCTGCCATTTCAGAGGGGCTTTGCTGGGGACCCTCAGCTCTCCCAGCGGGAGGCAGGGGTCCATCTCCAGCCTACCCTGGGGTTTCCGCATGCCCGGGGTCCCCCGTGGCCGGTGCTCCCATGCAGCCCTGTGCCCAGGTAAGGCAGTGAGCAGAGCCGTGGCGCTGAAGCTGGTTCAGGTCCTCAAGGGCCTTTTGGCGGCAGATTTTGAGGAAGCTGCAGGTGACTGAAAGAAAACGGAGATGCAAAGGCAGGAGCCCTGGGAGCGCAGGATGGTCTCCCAGCCGTACAGAGGACAGTGCTGCCATCCCTGGGTTCGGGGAGCACATTACGTGCTTCATTCAGCCCATCCACCTCTGTTCGAGAGGGTAAAGACTCCTCTGGTTGCCATTGCCGAGGCACTTGTCTATCCTTGACCCTCTGCGAAACAGGCGCTGCAGCACCCTGTGCCATCACGGGGCAGCGTCAGCAGTTGGAGGGGCCACTTGGCTGTCAGGGCAGCTGACCTGGCCCTGAACCTTCACTGTCCTCCGATTTCAGAGGTACCTCCAGGGCATCCCTGAGGTCGCCCCGCTGCCCGCCTCCTCCCCAGCCCTGGAGCCGCTGGAGGGGCCGGGCTGGAGACTCCCCACGGGAAACACCGACTCAATACAAACCACAGTGGGTAAACAATTACGGGCACGATTGCAGCGGGACTTCCGCTTTCCCGGGGGCTTTAACGGCGAAGCAGAGCTGTGCGAAGGCGGAGGGGAGGAGAGGACACTGAGACGCCCGGGGAGGCAGGAGCAGGGGCCGGAGCGGGACGCCGCGGCTGGGAACAGCTATGGGGGATGCCTTCATCCGGCACATCGAGCTGCTGGGCTATGAGAAAAGGTTTTTCCCCAGCCAGCACTATGTGAGTATGCAGCGACCTTCTGAGAAGTTGAGTAGCGAGGACTGGTGGGGGTAAAAAGCCTGGACAGCATATTTCTTTAGATAAATGCGATCGAGGGCCTAAGAGCATCCTTTTTTGGGGGGGTCATGGTGGCTGGCATGAGCTGGAGGCAGCCAGAGGCTAAAATGTCCTGAACACACAAGATTTTGGGCACCTCCTCTGCAAGCCGTTGGTTACTTTGCAGGCTTGGAAAGGGCTTTTCCCTCTTTGATTCCCACCCGTCTGCACGTTTCTGTCCCCTCTCTGTCCCTGCCGAGCTTCCCTAGCGCCCAGCTTGCTCGCTGCCTGGGCAGAGCTACTCGCTTTGGGGTGGTGGAAGAAAAACACGCAGTTTATCTGAAACGGAAACATCCATGAGGCTCCCCGGGGTCTTTGGCTGCAGCGGGGTACGGGGTCCCACTCGCCCGCAGAGCTGCAGCGCCTGTGCTTTGCCCCTCAGGTCTACATGTTCCTGGTGAAGTGGAACCTGCAAATCTCGCCCCCCGCCGGTTTACCGAGATATACGAGTTCCATGTGAGTCGTCCCGGTGCAGGCACCGGCCCCCGGCCCAGCGCACCAAGGCTTGGGGTGGGGAAAAAGAGGAGGGCTAATTCCAGCTGAAATTGCCCCAAAACAAACCTGACTCAAAAGAGGCTCCCGGGTCCCTGTGTTTCAAATCTTCTTCGCCCCTTGAAGTGGGGAGCCTCTGGCTCTGCGCTCCCCCGGCAGGCTTCTCCCAGTGTTGAGGCGCGGGGTCCAGCCAGCACGTGCCAGCAGGCAGCGGGGGGAGTGCCGGGAAGGGGGGCAAAACGCAGGCAGGGGCGCGGGTGCCACGGGGGGGTCCCGCAGTGCCATCCTCACAGCCGTGCCTGGCTCTGCTCCACAGAAAGCGCTGAAGGAGATGTTCCCCATTGAATCCGGGGACATCAACATAGAGAACCGGATCATCCCACACTTGCCAGGTGAGGGGCAGACGCCGGGGCTGGGGGCTGAAATAGAAATTGCAGCTGGTTGGGAAATTCCCCAGCGGGCCGAGCTCTGCCGGCTGCCTCCCGCGCAGGTGCTTGGTGCAATTTCTGTTCCTGCCCACCGGGCTTGAAATCAAAACACCGGAAAGGTCTGTCTGAGCAGCAGCAGTGGTTTCTCCCAACACTCGCCAGCCCACAGACCCCGTCCCTCCTCCCCGGGGAAGCTTCCCGGAGCATTGGCTGCAACCCCTGGCTGGTGTAAAGGGTCTGGCTTTGGGGAGCCTGAGCTGAGCTGAGCCCTCCTTCGGTGACACCGTCACTGGGATCGGCTTTTACTGCCCTTATGGCAACACAGGTATTTTGTAAGAGGAAGCAATGCAATATGTCTTCAATGACAGGGAATGAACTCCTGATCCAAAGAGCTGACAGTTTGTCCCCAAGCACGGTGCAGGCCAGCAAAATTCCCCCTTTTATTTAATTTCCTGCTTTAAAGGAGGCAGTAAGGAGCATGAGAAATAGCTGCAGGTTGTGGTCGACACCTCTAGAGGAGGAATAAACCTGCGCCATGCAGCAAGTGCGGGTGCCACATCTGGGGGGGCTCCCCTCGGGGCCGGACCAACACCGCCGTGCCGGGACCCTTCCTATGTACTGCCGCTGCCGTGCCAGAGCTGTTCGGAGCGTCCTCGTGCCGTTTGGGGAACTGAAAGCGCTGGGAACAAGGCAGGCGTCAGACTGCTGCGGGGGGTGCAGGGGTGCCACATGCACCCCGACGCGGGGTTCAACACCGCTGTGGGTCGGGGCTGCCAGCGGCATTTTGGAGCCCTGGGGTCAAGAGTGGCTGCTGCAGGACCTGTGCCGTGGCCAGTGGGACGGAGGGTTGTGCATGTCTGCCCCGGCAACAGGCTGGTCCCGAGTCCCTCCTTGTACCCTGGTGCAGTCACTGCGTTTGTGGCCCAGCAGCTGGGCTTAGTCTGAGCATGGATGTGGGAGCTTTCCCACAACTGAAATGGGGTCAAACGGAGTCTTTTCTGGGCTTGCACAAGCTCTGCAAGAGTCCACAGGCTGCAGGGGACGAGTCCAGTTGCACAGCGCTCTCCTCCACGCTGCTCACGGCACCCGGGCTGGGCATGGCGCCGCGCTCGCCTCCCCAGCCGCACTGCCGAAACGAGGAACCCACAGCTGCAGCACTTCTGCAAAACAGCCATGGCCCTGCGGTCAGCTTCTCCCCAATGGGATGGGGTCAAACGGAGTCTTGGCTTGCACAAGCTCTGCAAGAGTCCACAGGCTGCAGGGGACGAGTCCAGTCCACAGGCTGCAGGGGACCAGTTGCAC